TAAAATTACAAAACTCTAATAAATCTGAAGAAATTACATTTTGTTATAAAACTTGTGATTTATGAGAAAGAAGTGTTTACGTGAGAAAAGAGTGGTTCGCGTGAGAAAATAGTTCGTATGAAAAAAGGAATTAATAAAATAGTTTAATAAATCATATTAAAAAGGTGATTATGTAATAGTGATTCCAGAGTTGATCGATAACATATAATAGTTATTCTGGAGTTAGTTGATGCATATAGATCATGAATGATCACCAATAGTAAATCTAATATATTTAAAATCTTATAATCATGAAGTAATAAAAATTGGATCACAAGTTGATGAATCGGTTATAAAAGTATTCAATAACAATTTTTTATTTATTTTATGATAAAAAACATTTTTTTAAAAAAATACAAAGATTATTAATTATACAAAATGAGTTTGTATTATCTTTACGAAAGATGTAGCTGAACCTTTACAAAACAACAGGATTTGACACAACATATTCAGTATCACCACCCTTTTGTAGAAAATGAATAAGAAGAGATACAAAATACTGTTAGTGATGATGATGCAGTTATTTTTCAAGATAAAAAGGTATTTGAAAAGTCAGATCCATTTAAAAGAAAATCATCTTGAGTTGAATTGACTAACTTTAATAATACTGAGTAAGATACACAAAATCAATTAATATTTGATATAAATATTAATCATTTGCATCTATTACCGACCTAAAATATAAAATATATTAATAGGAATTAGATAATTTTTCGATGGATAAAACATCATTAGAAATACAAAACTCTCCTTATTCTCCTTTGTTACAAGAACATGATCATGATGAGGAAATTATGTGTGATAATGAAGACATCATATATGATTCAGATACTGATACCGATTCAGTAGATTCTGAAGATTTTTGTGGGGCTAGCTTTGAAGATGCAATAAATGATATAATCAACAAGCATATTTCACAGTGACCTAACGAGATTTACTAAGAATTCGCAAAGATATATGTAGATTATGAATTATCCAATTAAGCGATCAATTCACCCAATAAAAAATTTGATATAAAAATTCCATAAAAATATTAAGTTTTATAACGTATAACTTTTATGGAAAATCAGT